GTCTGCTGTTGCTGGCTTTGAAGACCGAAGGAGGGGACTTCAAGGAACTGGAAAGAGCAGGAAAGAGATTCTCCTTTGGAACCTCCAGAAGAAATGTAGCCTTGCCAACATTCTGATTTTAGCCCAGTGAGACCCGGATCAGACTCTGACCTGCAGAACTGTATGATAATATGTACTGTTTTATGCACTAAGTTTATGGTAAGTTATTACAGCAGCAATAGAAAACTAATATAGCGCCTAACTCTGATTATAGCTTTCCTATCAGCTTTGCCTGTAAGCAACAGAAACCAAGTTGAGCTGCCTTAAGCAAGCAAAGCAGGCTTTTCTGTAAGTGTACAGAAGGTCTCAGAACCCAAGGCAGGAACAGCCGCGGGGCTGCAGAAAGGTTGCTGAACCGCAGGGAAAGCTGCTACCAGGAGTGTCCTTCTTCTGTCTCCCTTGTCTCTGCTTCCCCACTCTACCCCCAATCTGTTTCATTCTTCTCTTTCTGTAGATAGACTTTCTCTGCTACTTAGCCCATAAAGTATAAGAAGTTGAGCCTCAGATTCTTTTTGCCTTCTCTTTCTTCACCAGACCAGTCAGCCCAGGCTGTGACTAGAATCTGATTCTCAATTCCAAAGTCCCAGGGAGGGAACATTGTTTGGCACAGATAGGTTTAAATGCCTATTATGGGTTGAATTGTGTCCCCCCCGACCAAAGAAGATATATTGAATCTCTAACCCTCCAGACTTCAGAATGTGGCCTTAATTGGAAATATGGTCATTGTAAATGTAATTAGTTAAGATGAGGTAATACAAGAATAAGGCGGGCCCTTATTCCAATATGACTGGTGTCTTTATAACAAGAAGAAACTGGGACACAGGGACAGAGGGAAAATCACCACGTGAAGATGCAGGCAGAGGTTGCAGTTATGCTGCCACAAGCCAAGGTAGCCTGGGGCCACCAGAATCTTTCCCTAGAGGCCAGAGAGAGCACGGCCCTGCCAACACCTTGATTTCAAACTTCCGGCTTCCAGAACTGTGAAACAATGAATTTTGGTTTTTTGAGCCACCCAGTTTGTGGTACAGTTGACTCTTGAACAATGCGGGTTTGTACTGCATTGGTCCACATATAATTGGGTTTTTCCCCCCCAATTAGTACATACTCCATGGTCAGGGCTGGTTGAATCTGTGGATACAGAAGGCCAACTGTGAAGTTCTCTGGGGATTTTCAACTACATGGGGTGCTGGTGCTCCTAACCCTTAAGTTGTTCAAGGATCCACTACACTTTGTTACAGCAGCCCCAGGATACTAATACAGTGCCCAAGCCTGATCCAGTCAGCTCTGTCCAGGAGACCAAGTCTTACAGTACAAACAAGACTTGTCAAGACTCAACCCTATGGCTTGGGGGCAGAGGACCAGTTTCCAAAGAAGGAAGAATCAGTGTGAGCTGGGCAGATGCACTGAAAAGCTGTCCACTCTAGTTCTCGACAGCTAGGATAAATATGATATTCTGATTTTCATTTTTGCTGTTTGTTTTGCTTTAAAAAATTCTTTGACCCTCTAGAATGCATTGCAGTTGTATGATGTGAGATATGAATTTCAGTTACTTCTCTTCTGTAATGTAACCCATTTGTCTTAACAACTTTTATTGGTGATTACCCTTTCCTCTCATCATTGTGTTGCTCCTTGTTTATTAGTCAGTGAGAACTAATGATTAAATACATTTCTAGAATCTCTATGCTACTCCAGTCATCTGAATGGCCAGGTTCTTGGTATGGTAGTGAGACGACTGCAGAGCTTAACTTCCAATTTCTTGCTTCATTTTCTCCTCTGAGTGTTTTATCTATGGCAATTTGGAATATCTGGTTACTCTTAACTTTTTTGGGGGGTGGGGGAGTAGGTTTATAAAATATTCCTAACCTTTTTAGAATAATGGACCCAAAGAACTTCAGGTGGAAGAAGCTGTACTATTCCCTTTTTTTGAAACTGGTCCCTGGCCCTGTTAACAAATCTGGTCACTGGGACGAGAACACGTTAGCAAACAGTAAAGGACCCACATATCAAACTTTGTAATAAAGATGTACCCAGCACACAGCAAGTAACACAATAAATGTTAGTAATTATTAGAATGAACACCTATGGCAAACTCTTGCAAGTATCCAATAATAGCCCATTCCTGCATCTTCCCCACCTTAAGCCATGCATGACAAGGGGAAGGGGATGTGGCAGGCTGAATAATGGCCACCCCAGAATGTCCATGTCCTTATCCCTGAAACTTGTGTATATATTACCTTACCTGGTAAAAGTACTTTATAGATATGGTTAAATTAAGAATCTTAAAATGGGAGATAATCTGGGTGGGCCCAAATTAATCACAAAGGTCCTATAGGAGGGACACAGGAGAGTCAAAGTCAGAGAAAAAGGAGATGTGATCACAGAAGCAGAGGTTGAAGAGATGTGCTTTAAAGATGGAAAAAGAGGCCAGGCACCAAAGAATCAAAATCCCTTCTAGAAGCTGGAAAAATGGATTCTCTAGAGCCCCCAGAAGGAACTTAGCCCTGCTCTCACCTTGATTTTAGCTCAGCAAGGCTCATTTTGGACTTCTGATTTCCAAAGCTGTTAAGATAACAAATTTGTGTTGTATTAAGCCTCTCAATTCTTGGAAACTTGTTACAGCAGCAATAGAAAAAAAAATACAGAGGGAATTAGAATTTCATTGAAAATTCTGCTAAATTTGTACTCCTGGACACAAGTCCTTGTTCAAATTACAAGGTTTGAGGACCACAGACCCTAGAGGTACCTTTCTTGCCATGTCACCCCAGACAGATTCTCACCTTCTCTCTACTTCTGTTCATCCAGCCTGATTTCCTCTGCCCCAAGTACCTCCATCGATTCCCCCACCTTTGAGGTCTAGACGTCAGAGCTGTTTTAAGATACTGGTGTTAACCCCATATGCTTGACACTAGGGTTATTAGAAACAGAAATTCAGGGAACAAATTAAATTAAAACGTGAAATAACAATGAGAAACCTTTCAGAAACGGGGGCATTTTCTCTTCTAGCTCCAGGTCAAAGGGAAAGAAACCTAGAGAGATAGAGAAATGAATCTGGCTAGAAATATTGACTCGCACTATAAGGTTCTGAACATTTGCTTAGGGTTTTTAAAAGCCTAGGACTTGGTGGAAAAATCCCGACCCCTTTTGTTCAAGCGCCAGAGGCTAGCTACTGAGAGACAGTAGACACTTCAGTAAAATTGTAGTTTGGATTTTGTATTTGAATCCCTGTTCTGCAGACCAGCGTTCCTGGTCTTTTCCTCCAAGAGGCCCTAAACGAGCTCCCCGCTGGGTAAGCTCCTCAAAGCCGGCAAACTCTGCCTAAAGGTGCACCACCACAGCTCCTAATACCGAATTCTGGGTCTGCATCACCTAATGAAGGAGAATAAAATGCAACTCTCTGGCACTAAGCGCTTTTTTTAAACTCTTCTCTCCCAGAATAAAAGGCCCTTACTTTTAATTTTTTATTTGTGATGATTTTATTTTTTCTTTCCGTTCTGTTACTAGCTGGAGCTAAACATTGGCTGGGGCCCCAGACGGCTGCTGGAAAGGCGCCCTCCCAGGAGCAGAAGGCTGGCTTAGGAGCAACTGGGGGCGGGGAAAGAACGCTCGACTGAGTCTCTCCAGCGCCGTAGGGCTTCTCCCCAGTCTTTCCCCGGCCAGGCCAAGTTCCCAGTTTGAGCCCCCAGACAGCAGGGCGCGGCGGGGACACTTGAGGGACATTCGCGGCGTAGCGGGACCACGCGGCCCCACGCTCACTGCCTCGCAGCCCCGCACCTCCTTCGCCGGCCGCGGACTGACGCGCGGGCAGG